TAATTGTGTGTGTATTAAAATTTAAATTCCGAAAATTTCTTAAAATGTAATTTAATTTTCTAATTTAGATTAACATAACAAAATTAGTATTAAAAATTTTTAAAGAGAATTTTCGGTTGATGGTAAGTGGGAGGATTATAAATTTTTTATTACACCAAAGAAACTTTAAGAAAATTTTTAGAATATTTTTAATACGTGCTTCAATTTTAAAGTGTATGAATGACGAAATTTATTTAATAATATTAAAAATTGTGGGTACACATAATTTTATTTTTCTAATAAAATTTTTAAAAACAGGAAGTAGCTTTAATTTTGAAAGTTTTGTAATTTTTATACAAGTACTTTTCCTCCTCAATAAAAGAAAGCTTGTTTTATTTTTCAATATAAAAAGGTAGAAGTGCCGCAAAAAAAATAAATAATTTAAAAATTTTTAATTATCTTTACATACAACCCAATTTACGGTAGGCATAAATTCCCTAATTATTACTTTAGAAGAGAAATTTCACACACTGTGACAAAATGACAGCGCCGTTCTGAGAAATACATTTTGAAAAAAATGTGAAAAAGAATTTGCAAAAAATTAACAAAATTTCCAAATATTCTCTTTTTCAATTTATGATTTTAAACACAATGCTCCTAAGCATATGCAATTTTTATTATTTATTTCAATTACATAAATAAATGTAAATAATTTAGAAATAACTTTTTCAATTCAATATTAAAATAAAAATGTGCAGCTTTATTAACATTGCAGTGTGGTTGCAGTAAACATATTTAAAATGAAGTTCTAAAATATTCAATTTAAGCTTAAAGTTGTTTAAGAATCACTCTATATATTGCTTTGAATAAATTTCAATATACATTTCAACATCAATATTAAACTTATGTAAATATTGCATTAAATAAAATAATCAACAGTTAACAAATAAAAATTACAATAAGAATATTATATAGAAAAGAGTAACTAATTTTTTTCTGAGAGAAATTTAGAGAAAAGCTTTAATTTTGCATGCAATCCATAAAAGAATCTAACTTAGTAGTTCATATAAATGTACACCTAGTAAGCAAATATGCATGTACATGTATGTGTATTCATTGAAAATTTTATTTTCAATCCCGAATATTGTTAAACTTTTACTAGTTGAAGAAGTAAACACAGAATTCAATTATTGTACAATTTGAGTTTAAACTTCTATCACAAATGCACATATTCATTTATCAAAAAGCGGAATGAATTCATGACTAATTAACTGAAAATAATTGCATTTCAGATAAAAATAATTCGTGTTATCGCAATTTTTTAGATACTGAGTAAATTTTTAAAATAAAAATAAAGTTTTCCCTTTTTTACAATAGAATATTCAAAAATTTTCAAGGCCTATACAGAACTAAATCATTATTTATTTAATAGTACAATAAAATTATAAATATTAATAAAAATTTAATGTTTTAAGCATATTCGATTATTTATTGAAGGAAAGGATGAAATCAAAAAAGATTCAAAATACTAAATATTAGGAAGAAAGTTTTTAGCATCTATTGCAATTCTAACAAGAAAATTTCCGTAATTTTTATTTAATATAAGAAATTTTGTAAATATTTTTTACAAAAATGCATGTTAAAACTCCCTGTAAATTACAAAAATCTGATGTGGTCAGCACATAACCGACCGCAATGTGTATTGTTTAGTTAAGTGAATGTTCTACAGAATATTATAAATTTGTTTGTTAAATGCTTTTTTCCAATTTTTAAGACATTAGTAAGCTTATAGTTCACATACCTAGAAAAATGTAATTTTGGCTCTTAGTAGAGTTTCGCTTTGTGCTACCCGAATTCCCTAAAATGCTCGCTAGTTAGTTTCGCTAACAAGCAGAACTCAAGTATCGAATTTCAAGAAATTCCATCAATTTATTCCATAGGTATGGTGAAAATTGTAAAATCGACCCACAGATCAGTTTTCGAGCCCTTATCTCGAAATTAAATATTAAATTTCCATGAAATCGGTCGATTTTTTCTCTTTATATACGCAAAAGTGTATATTTGGCCCAGTTACTAGTAAACGTCCAGTGGGTGATACTTAATTTCTTCCGTAAGTTAGAAGGTTTCGCGGACGGTCGAGCTAAGCTTATATATGAAATTTCAAGTAAATCGGTTGAATATTTTCTTCAAAATGATCAAAAATGTAAAACAGGTCCGCTAAAAAGTGTAGTTCCTGATTATTTCCATAATCGAAATAAACTTACATATAAAATATCAAAATCGGTTCAGACGAACTTGAGATACACGCGTCCACAAACAGATCGACAGACCGACAGGTTGCTAAAAACGAAAACTCGATATGCAAAATTTGTTGCCATCACACGACCTACCTATTGTATATACAATACGATCGGCAATTATATCTTTGAATACATTTCATATTCAGGTAAGTACATTTTATTTAGGAAACCCTTTAAATACAATTATATCTGAAATAAGAAATTGCAGTTACACCCATAACCTATTCAAATCCTAAAATTCTTCAATGTGGTATTGAATTGCAATTTAAATTAGGAATAAATAAATATGAAAAAAAAAATTATACACCGAAATACCGCCTTGATTCAGTTTTATTAGAAAAGAAGTTTTATATGCCAATATTTAAAGATTCACTTTATTTCATTGAAATATTTAAAAATATTTAAGAATTTTTTCTACTTGTATTACTTGCATTAAATACGAAAAAAACAAAATTACATCCAATTTACCTTCTCAATCAATTATTAACAATTTAAATTGACTTAAAATATAGGTTAAATATACTTGTACAGAGCACACAATAAATTTACAATGCATTAATATTAATAATAATCACATAATAATAATAATAATAATAACAATAATAATTACATTTTTACATCACCTCCTTTACCACCTTATCATTATTGATGTTATTATTTAACCTCTCATTTTATTAACATACCACATACTAGCACAACATATACGTATGCCATTGCAATACAAAATCTTCGGTAAGAGCATAAGCATTATTGCATTAATAAATGTGCAATTTTGTATATTAAAAGAAGAGAAGTGTAAAAAAAAAGGAAAGAAAAAAATTTGCAACGAAGATGTTGTTGCACTTGTTGCATGTAAACAAAAAAAAAACACCAACAACCAAATTTTTTCTTTTTCCATTCTTTCTTTTTTTTTTATAATTATTGTTTAAATGGCCGATTCAATATTTAAATTTGAATAGATTTGTGTGTATGGTTGTTTTTATAAGGTAAGTGTTTACATTTCTGTTGCGTTTTATGTAAATGCAAGCCCAATATTATAAACGTTGTTTACACAAAAATGCAGACGGAAAAAATAAATAATTTTATGAATAAATATTGGCATGCAATATTTAAAATAATTTAAAAAAGTTTACAAAAAAAAATAAAAATTTAAGGGTCAACTGTTGATTGAAATGGATGAAATTTATATATAAAAATTTAGAGTCTATCTCTGTTAGACTTTAAATAAAAAAACCATGATAAATCCGGCTGGTACCGAAATCATCTGGCTAAATAAATACATATTTTAATTTTTAAATTAATCACTAAATGAAGACGAATAGGCAATCTAATAAAATGATGTAACATAACTGAAAAACCAACGCCAATCTCTTAATATTTTTATTTAGATTTGAAGAAATTATAGTTTCTTAGAATGTCCATTAAATCTACTAAACAAAATTCATTTTTAATAACCTTCTATTAAAACAGTAATTTTTCTATTATAAAGTTAGAATAGTCCAAAGAAATAACAATTCTTCAAGAACTTAAGATAAAAGAAAAATTTAAAACGTCATAAAGTATATTTTTTGAAATGCAAAATACGACATTATAAATCTGAATTTAAATCAATTTTAAAATTCTTATGTAAACTTTTCTTAACTTTAAATTTTAATTAGCAAACAGTGAAACTTATTGTTGATTAAGATTAGTTGAATTTAAAAAAAGTTTTTAAAAAACTTTGTAGCTTTTTTTAAAACTCTTAAAAAGCTCTTAAATGATTTGATTAAAGGTTTTTTGGTCCATTCGGTTTTTAGCATGATATTTGGTTCAAAATCATGAGGCAAAATTTGGTCCACTCGGTTTTTAGTATGATGTTACGGCATTTTTGGTCAAAACAAGAAAATGTCGCCTTGAACGCGTATACATACTTTTTACCATTAATTCAATCAAATTAATATTTATTATTTTCAAAGCTGAAAACAAAATTTTCCTCTAAGTAAAACGTAGATCTTTTCTTTTTAAATAAACCAGAAATAATTTGCTCTGAGATGGATAATTTGGATTTAATAGGTCGTGTTTTCATTTACATCTACTATCATACTTGATCTTAGACGCTACTTTTTATGTTTCTTTAAAAAACAGTATTAAAATCGTAAAATATATAAATTAAAAATGTAATCATCTTGTAAAAAATATATACATACATATATACTAATTTAAAAAATTAATTTTGTTATTAGTAATAAATTTAATTTAATTTCCTAGTTTAATTTAATTAAATATGTTTTTAAAATTTTAAAATACAAATATGCCTATGTAAAATGGTTCCAAAAATTTATTTAACTATAATTTTGAAAATATATATTTAACTTATATGAAACTTGTGATTTGAGAAATTTAGTGGCATTTTGCCAGAATTGATTAAGTTTTTAATTATTTAGAATTTTTTTTTTTAAATTGAATTTTCTTTCAATATTCATTTCGTAACAGAATATTACAAAAAGAATATATGATTGATATTTTCGTGTATAAGAATTTGGTGGAATTCAATTACATAATTTATAAAACTTACATAACTATATATAAAAAAGTAGATTGATTTTAATGAACTATAAATCAATCATAATTTTCTGGGTAATTTGAAAATATAAATGAACTTAAAATAAATATAAAAAATTTTATATAAAACATTATATACGTGTGCATGTATTTATTTAAATAAAAATAAAATTCACTTACCATTTTATTGATCGATTTTTGACTTTACTCCTATAATCAATTTGTCTTATTGATCTTTTTAACTTCTTTTTAAAACGAATTTGTTTACTTAATTTTATTCCATCAATTCTTCTACTCTTTCTATGAAATATTTCTCCAGCAGCTGAAACTTTACGCATTGCAGTTGCCATAACAACATCATTCATTAAATCATCATCATCATAATCATCACTATCCATATCATCATCTTCATCCCATTGATTAAGTTCATTGATATTATTCTCTTCATGTTTAGGTTTTTGTGATTTCATTGAAATTCCAGATGTTGATGGTTTAATTTCTATTTGTGGTGGAGGTTTTTCATCATCATCTGAGGATAATATCATAATATCATCATCATCTTCAGTTTTTTCAATTTTCGGTTTCTTTTTTGCAGAATTATACTCTTGTTCTTCTTCTTCTGCTTCTTCTTCCTCCTCTTCTAAATCATTATCATCAACATCATCATCTTCATCCTCATCTTCTGTCACATCATCATCATAAATATTTTGTGAAGTTTTCTTTATTTTGATTTGTTTACTTTTTATATTATCATTGTCATTATCTTCTTTTTCGTCATCGTCTTCTTCATCATCATCATCAGAATCATCATGATCTGTATCATCAGATTCTGAATCTTCTGTATCATATTCATCTTCTTGATCATCATCTGCTTTTTGGTCATCGTATTTTTCTTTCTCTTCTCCATAATTAATTTGATTATTTTCTTTTTCATTATCACGAGCATTAACATCATTATTTTCTTCATCGTCATCATCATCAGAGGGAATTATGATTCCTTCTAAAGGAACTTTTTTATTGTCATCACTTTTATTAATAATTTCAACGTTATCTTGAGTATGTTTTTCATTTTCTTCATCTAATTCATTTTCAGTTTCATTTTCCGGTTTGGTATCCTTTACTTCTGCAAGCTCAACTGCTACAGACTTCTCATCGAGATTCACATCTTTTTCTTCAATTAGATTTGTTTCATCTTTTGAGACCATTTCAGTAAACTCTTTAATTTTTTCTTCTGTGATTAAATCCCCATTTTTTTCTTCATTTTTGAGTTTTTCATCCAAACATTCAACTGCGATTGTGGAATTGTCAATTTCAATCTCTTTTTCCACGCAAATTTCTTTTTCTTCACCCTTTTCCACATTTACAGATATACTTATATCTTCTTCTTTAGTACTTGGTTTTAAATCAGTTTCTTCGATACATTCATCTTGTTCTACAATATTGGGTGCAGCTTCTTCGTCATTTGCAATTGCATTTTCGTCAATTGTCATAATATTTTGTTTTTCTAAAGAAACATCACATAAAGTATTATCTGTAACAATTAAATCTTCTTGACTTTTAACTATTTCAACCGGCAAACTTTCTTCTATATTTTGATCCATTTCTATGTCTTGTTGGTTTTCGCCCATATTGGACGTTTCTTTATCATCAACGATTTCTAAAACCCCACATTCCATTAATAAATTTCTTTTTTCCTCAAAATTGTTTTCATCTTTTTTTCCCATTTCATCTGGAACTAATCTCTCTGGTTCTATAGTTTCTACAAGATTTTCATCTATTATTTGTGGAGCAGGCTCTTCATCTGAGATTAATAATTGAAAATCTTCTTCTTTTTCTAAATCTTCAACATTAGGTTCAATCAAATTTTTATTGTCCGGTTCTTTCCCTGCTTCAGTAAGTTCACTAGTAATTTCAACATTGTCATTCTCACACGCATTTTTTATAATTTCTTGTTCTTTTACTATTTCTTCTGATTTTTTTTCTGTGTTTTTTTCACCATCAGAATTTTCTATAATTTCAATAGGATCGCCTGAGGAATCCATATTTAAAGAGAAATGATTGTAATCACTTTTAATAAGATTTTTAGTTACAATTTTATGAATTCAATCAAATGTATTGTAATTTTTTGTTTAATAGCAAAGGTCACGCCGTTCGTTAGCATTAATCAAATTTTTTTGTACTAAAAAAACAATAAAAAAATGTATAATTTTTAATTATTGAATTACACAAATTAATTAATATTAATTAGGAAAAAGGAAATTATTGAAAATACAGAACAAAGAATATTCATAATAAAATTTACTTACAATCGATAAAATGTAGACGTATTTCACTCTTCAAGCATAGAAAAAAGCCGGCAAATCTGTTTTGCAAATTCTATTCTTTTACTCCGAACAAACTTTTTTTATTTTCCAGTAAAATGGCAGTAATACAAAAATTACAAAATATCTGTCTTTTACACATCTATTTAACTTCCATCGAATTTTTTTTGTTAAAACTAATAAATATTAAATACTTAAGGTCAATTTAGTACCTATTTAGGAACTTATTTCTTCAAAATTTTTTAAAAATGATTATTGAAATTATTCTGTTTGACTTGAACATGTACTAAAAATTAACTTAAATTTACGGCTGTCACCGTCAGACATGTTTTAGTAAAAATGTCAAAATTTGACATTTTATGTGAAAGAGAGAATAAAAAATTGTTCTTTATTGAAAATACAACTGAATGAAAGAGAAAAAAAAATCTTCAATATTCACAATATTTGGAGTCAACTTAAATGACACATTCACAGTACGTATTCACAATAGCACAGATTAAATTTTTTTTTTATCGAAAGATTATTGGAAAAATATTCCAAATGGTCTTATGCATATTGAAAGTTAATAAAAATTTCTAGGAAAACAATTTTCAAATAAATGATTAATAATATATAGTGTTTAAAATTATTTAACAGAATTTGAAAACATATTTATTTTTTATAATTTGATAGTTTAAATAGAAAATTATGACCAAATTAGTTGAAAATTTGAATTTGAATTGCTGGATTGACAGGGTGTAATATCCATCATTACAAAATTTTGGTTTTATATACCGATTTCATTTAAATAAATAATGTGCTCCAATTCGAATACAAGCAACTTTATTCAGCAATGTTTTGTTTTTTTTTTTAACGTTTCAATTTTAATTGCTGAGCAAAGATAACAATAAAATGCAGATTGGATTGCATTGCATTTAGAAAATGTGTATATAATTATGTGTATGTGTATATACAATTTTTACGAACCAATCATAAATAATAATTTAATACTGAAAAATATTTAAACCATTGTAATGTTAGTTTAGGTACCAGTAAGGAAATATTAGAGTTCGAAAAATTCTTTTAGATAAAATGAAACGATTACAAATGTGTACCTATGCACATAAATATATATTTATTACATATATTCAAAAATATATCAAAAAGTCAAAGTTAAACTTGCATAAATCATCTTATTAAATCAATATCACAGATAATGTAAATGTATTTGTACTCTCGAATTAAATTTTAATTTAAAAACTATTCAAATTAGGGTCAAGGTAAAAATAATATAAATTTTGTTTTGCATTATTGCTTCCAAAAATGTAAAAATAAGTCAAGAATATTTTAATGTTTAATTTTTATTATGCTTGGAAGTACAATGAATTGCACTGTACCTACTTGAGTATCTGCACAGACGTTTTCGCTTTGCATTCTTATTATAGACAATTTTTGTTGTTCATTTGTATGAACATAATATGAACACATGTACATAAACATATGAACATAATATGAATATGAGTATATGTACTGAAACATATTATGTATGTACATTTATATGTGTTTTCCTTATGGAAGCTAATCTGCAGTCTTATTTGTTAAGTAATTAAAGTTGAGTAGCTGAATAGCTCAAGTTGCTGCCAAATATAAGTTTAAATATGTAGGTGCCCATAGTATAAAAATAACTCGCAATATATGGTATCGCAATAAAATTTTATATTGGTATATAAACGTTTCCAAGATTCAAGTGTTTATTACATCATATTTTAATTCGCAAAGCTCGCCCAATTTTTTAAGGAACTCGCTATGAATAATGAGCCTATATTTTATATTTTATGGTTACCTTAAAACACATACAATTAAAATTTTCGCTCTGTCGGTAAGATTTTAATATTTCAATTTTCGAACTATAACGTATATTATGTATGTACATATATTTGTCATATTTTAGAAATAATCATTGGTACATACATTAAGTAACTACAAAATATGAAAAATCATTGATTTAAAAAAATTCAATATTGTGACCGATTTTTTCCAAAATACCACTGTATATGTATAGAAGTAAAATTTAATTAATATAGAAAAATTAAGTTTTTTTTTTACTGTAGATAACAAATTAAACAAAAAAAAAGTAAACAATAAAACATTGATAAAAGAACAAAGTGAAATTTATTTTCGACAATATTTTTTTTTCTACATTATTGCGTTTTTGTTTTTTATCGCCAAAAATGTTATAATTTCACTCCGATTTGAAAACAAGCACAAGCACCAGCAGTTTTGATAACTGATGTATGAAGGTATGTAAGTATGTAATAGCAATTTCTTTAATTGTATTTTCATCTCACAATTACGGCACTTGCATAACATGAAGTTAACATATTAAGTGGGTAACAAAATTTGTAATTTTGTGTTCAATAACAATTTTTAAAACGCATTTATTTTAATGATAAAATTCTAGTAAATCATTAAACTTTGAAATTTAGTTAATTTTTTGTTTTTACCGACCGTATTGTGTAAACAATAGGTAGGTTATGTGATGGCAACAAATTTTGCATATCGAGTTTTCGGTGGGAACGTACTTCTCCATAGTAGGGAAGTGTAAATAAACTATTTTTAGCAACCTGTCGGTCTGGCGGTCTGTGTGTGCACGCGTGTATCTCAAGTTCGGCTGAACCGATTTTGATGAAATTTTATATGTAAGCTTGTTTCCACCATGGCACGGATCGATCAACTTTTGGTATATATCAGGCCTCGCGAACTGCACTTTTTATCGGGCCTGTTTTACATTTTTGAACATTTTGAAGAAAATATTCAACCGATTTACTTGAAATTTTATATATAAGCTCAGCTCGACCGTCCGCAAAAATTCGTATGTTTTGGAAGAAATCAGGCATCGGCAACTAGACGTTTACTACGGGCCAAACATACACTTTTGTGTTTATAAAGAGAAATAATCAACCGATTTCATTGAAATTTAATATATGAATTCCTCATATTAAAGCAATAAACATATAACTTTTTTGGAAAGATCAGGGCTCAAGAACTGATTTGCGGGCCGATTTTACATTTTTCACCATATCCACAGAACAAATTGATGGAATTTCTTGAAATTTGATATTTGAGTTCTGGTTGTTACCGAAACTAACTGGCGAGCATTTCAGGGAATTCGGGTAGCACAAAGCGAAACTCTACTAAGAGCCAAATTTACATTTTTCTAAGTATGTTAACTATAAGCTTACTAATGTCCTAAAAATTGGAAAGAAGTATTTAACAGACATTTTTATAATATTCTGTAACACTTTCATTTAACTAGACAATATACAATGCGGTCGGTTATGTGCTGACCACATCAGATTTTTTTTTTTATAATAATTTTAATTATGAACAATTGACTGCAAATGGAGTAAAATTACAATTTAAAATACTCAATCGTTTGCGCTTATGGGACTAGGATTGTCATAAACAAAATTTTCTAATTAATTTTCTTTGAGCAATTAAATTATGCAGGTCTAAATCAAAGATTTCAAATTTCTTACAAAAGAATCATGCTACTAGTAAATATTCTTCTATATCTAGAATTTGTTGTCCGAATTTTGATGGTGTGGCTATAAAAGGGAGCTATCAATTGCTTTTCCTAATTTTCCATTAATTGAAATTATAAACTATAAGCATTAATCATATTTTCATACACAATCTTCCTGTCGTTGGAATCTATAAAAATTTTGTTAATTTCAATCGAAAATTAATGATCGTGAAAAGGTGGAAAAACTTCTTAAAGCAACTTAAATGAAAAATTCATGTTTATTTTTTTTTTTTTTGCAAAAAAATTTCAAATATTTTTCGATAGTTTTCCAAAAAATTTTTTCAAACTGTAAGTAGTTTAAAAACTATTCATGAATTAAAAATTTTTTTTTCTTATTTTTTATTTTTTAAATAAAATTGGAGCAATATTGGAAATTTCAATGAGGCGGAAAAGTTTCTTTTACAAGAAAAAACTTTTTTGTGTACGGTTCCTTGCATAAAATTTTTCTTGCAAAATTTTTATAAATATTGTAAATTTTTTTATAAATTTTTTAAAAGAAAAATTTTGTTTTCCACCATTAATTTTTTTTCATTAATTATTTTCAGTTATAAAGTGTGTTAAATGTTTTGTATTTTTTTCTTCTTCCTGGTGCTTTTCTGTCTTTGGACTTTTCTTTTTTTTGTTGGCTTCAATGTATAGGACTTTTAGTTTCGTCTTGTTATATTAATTTCATTGGGGCCTGGTTGTTATTCGTTATAAATTTTATTTTAAATTTTATTAAAAAGGTAGATGTTTTTTGTTTCTTGTGGAGAACCTTGCAGGCATCCCAGAAAAAAGCTTGCCAATTCAAGCTAATGAATTTTATGGAATAAATCTGATTTATTAAGTATTATAAGAAAACATTTTCCTTAAATTTTAATATTGTTCGACTGAGAGCACAAAGCTGGACTTTATGCTGCCAAACAGTATTTTTGCCATTTACAACAATGCCGTTTACTTTTAAGTAAATCCAATATTTTCGACATGATCTAAAACAAAAACAGAAATTTAAACATAAGTTTTTTGACTAGTGTATGAATAGATCAATTTCCCAAGATCTGGTGAATCTGGTGAAATAAATTTAAATATATTAAAATTTTACTTTAAATATACATTCATTTTAAATACATTTTTGCAAATTTATAAATTAATTTAACTGGCCGCGTTCCTTTTAATTTTGTATAACAAAACACTCTTACTGATATCGATTGCATTCTTATGAGAATAGGGAAACCAATATTTGAATTTAGTGAACATTTAATCCAATTAAAGGCTATTGATATTTAAGCCTTCTAATTTATAAATTTTACAAAAAAATTCTGAGTTCCATTCCAAAGATATTGTATGCTTCGCTGTTCTTGTTCAATTTTTATTCATAAAACTTGTGGGGAAATTATAATTTAGGATTCTTTTAAAAACTTTAATTAAGGAAATAAAATTCCAAAATATTCAATATCACAAATTGGCAGTATTGGTAACCTTTATCATCATAGGTACTCTTACTTGTACACACATTCATACATATACTTAAATTTCAAATTTTATAATATTTCCTGTTTTTTTTTTTGCAAATCTTTCTTTTTTTTTTATTTTTCGTTTCGAAAAAAAAAAACTTTTCAAATAAGGAAACCTTTTTTCTTTTTTTTTTAACCATTTTTGAAGCGAAAAAATAGCAGTTAATATGCTATAGTGCCAAAAGTAAACCTAAAAGAGAAAGAAGGGATTCTTT